CACTGCTTCTAGCTTACTCATCCATCATTTCTCACCTAGACTATTTTGAGGGCTTCCAAGTGGACTTGACTTTTCTTTCTTGACCTGAGCTGTGATTCTAGCTTACAAATTTTCTAAGGTGTTTCTCTTTTAATTTCTCTGGTTTCTCACAGATGTTGTACTCTTCCAGATAGGTTAGAAAGGAGACTGGGATATTTCCTGACTTTCAGAATTTCATGGTCTCATATATATGAGAGACTCATGTATTAGTAATATTGAAAGAAAACAGACTACATGCTGTCAGTATGGGGAATGAACTATTTTTGGTAGAATACAGGAATATTAAAGATGGAATTTTAGAATTAAAGTTTTAGATTGGGTTTTGAAATAAGGATAAGATAGCTTTCTTTCTTTCTTTCTTTCTTTCTTTTTTGCAATACAGTTCAGTTCTACATATCAGCCACGGATTCCCTTGTTCTCCCCCCTCCCGCCCCCCTCACCTTCCCCCCAGCCCACCCCCTATTCCCACCTCCTCCAGGGCAAAGCCTCCCCCGAGGACTGAGATCAACCTGGTAGACTCAGTCCAGGTAGGTCTAGTCCCCTCCTCCCAGGCCGAGCCAAGCGACCCTGCATAGGCCCCAGGTTTCAAACAGCCAACTCATGCAATGAGCACAGGACCCGGTCCCACTGCCTGGATGCCTCCCAAACAGATCAAGCCAATCAACTGTCTCACTCATTCAGAGGGCCTGATCCAGTTGGGGACCCCTCAGCCATTGGTTCATAGTTCATGTGTTTCCATTCGTTTGGCTATTTGTCCCTGTGCTTTATCCAACCTTGGTCTCAACAATTCTTGCTCATATAAACCCTCCTCTTTCTCACTAATTGGACTCCCAGAGCTCCATCCGGGGCCTAGCCATGGATCTCTGCATCCAGATCCCTCAGTAGTTGGATGGGGTTTCTAGCACGACAATTAGGGTGTTTGACCATCCCATCACCAGAGTAGGTCAGTTCGGGCTGTATCTCGACCATTGCCAGCAGTCTGTTGTGGAGGTATCTTTGTGGATTTCTGTGGGCCTCTCTAGCACTTTGCTTCAGATATAGATAGACATGTTACCTTCTAGCTTTAAAAAAATTCAAATATAATTTATCAAATTCAAGACCAAATCTAAATTAAGAAGCATACAAGTTCTTGTAGGAACTGCTGTCTGCATCCCATTCTAGCATTATCTTCTGATAATTTTGTTATTTTGTATTATTCCAACAATACTACCATTCGTATATCTCACCCTTTCATTCTGTATCCACTCCTAATAACTCCTGTGTTTCTGTGATAGGCTATTTCAACTTGCCTCTTAAGTCTTCATATTGACAAACTGACAAACTAGCTAGAATTTGTCTGCCTTTTTGTTCCTTTAGTATCACATATATTTTCTTCATAACACTTCTAGTCTGTATGTATATATTTACTATGAAATTACTTGACTGTTATTTAATTCCCCAAGTAAAGTGTAAGCTACAAAATTGCAAGGCTCAGGGCAGAAGAGATGGCTCAACAATTAAGAACATTTGTTGCTCTTACAGAAGACCTGAGTTTTCCTTGCATTACCCACATAGTGACACACAACCTTCCATAATTTCAGTTTCAGGGGATCTGAAGTCCTCTTCTGGCTACCACAGACACAAGGAACACACAAGATGATGCATGCATGCATGCAGACACTCATACACATAAAAACAAATCTAAAATGAGTACAAACCTATGTCTATTCTTTGTTGCCATTGTATGTATCTATCATGCAACATGACAAAATATCTTAGTTCCTCTCCAAATAACTTTAATCAAAAAGTATCCTTTTTATCATATATGTACTTTCATTGATTACATAAGTCTTTATACATGTTTATTTCCTTTACTACCTTAAAAACAAAAAGATACTGATTCAATTACAGCTATAGAAATATGAAAACATCAAGGACAGTATTTGTGGATTTTCATATTTTTTCTATAACCATACAAAGTTAAGCCCAAAATTTTTAAAGATTTTCCCACTGCCAATGAGCCAAATCAGATTCCAAAATAAGCTGTCAAAAAATTATAAATTTATTTTTAAATGGTAGCCATCTATCAATTAATGATTCTTTGATGAAACTCCTCAATACCCCTTTTCTCATAAGCAAGTAGTGGGATGATGTATGTTCTGAGAGACTTGTGTGAAAATTATGGTTTGCACCCTATTCTGTATAACTTTAGGCACTTTTGTTGTCTTAGCTTTCATTTTTTTCAATTTCTAAACTTATTTAAGAAATTATATGTATTGTATAGAGTACTTTTGAGAATTATAAAAGATAGCGCCTACCATTACTTTGGGGGGGGGGAGGGAGTTGATGATGAAGAGTATTTTATAAATGCTTAATTATTCCAATTATTCCAGTGGATAGCCATTTTGCCATTGGTTTGTTTGATCACATGTGGCCAAAATTCATATAGTCCTATGGTCTGTTTCTTATGGTTTAAATACATCTTCAATTCCAAAATTCAAAATTCATTGAATCTACAACTTGTGCCATAGTCACACTACCAGGGTAGATTTGCCTTCCTGGATTCCTGCTTTTCTAAATAATGATAAAAAATTAATGATGTTGCACTTTCTATTGCAAGCACTTTCAGCTATAAAAGAATATTGTTGCTTCATTTCTGTTCATAGTTTCAATTAACTGACTTTGGAATAAAAATGCATGTTTGCAATGTGTAAGGGGTCATCTAATTATTCAACCACCCCTGTTTGTAGCTTCTTATTAATAGGCTCCACATCGTTTGTCTTGCTTCCACTTCAAATGCTAATTTTAGAATCCCATTTTCATTATCAAACACCTTTAGGAAAAAATCTTAACAGTAAAAAAAGAGACCTCTTGAACCTGTCATGTTTCCCTCTTTCTTAATAAGTTTGTTCTCAAAACAAATTTTTTAAATTCATACTTATTTTCAAACAATATCTTTCTTCTCAAAAATCAGTGAATCCCTCATTTCATTAGTTATCACTAGTTTCAGACCACATAAACCAAAGGAGAAGTTGGGGATTTAAGCAGTTTTCTGAATAAATGTAACATTTGTAAATATTTAACACTAACATTTTTTCCAGTTTTCAAGCAAAATTCACAGTTTGCTTAAAATATACAGGTACTATAATTGAGGTCAAAGAGGTCATCTTTTTGTTTGAATCATGTAGATAATTGCTTCAATTCTCCACTTCACTTTGTGTGAAGTAAGTAATTGAGTGAAATTTCAACTGAACATTTTAGTGAAAAAAAAAGTCAAAATGAATGTTGATTATCTTTAAGCCCAAACAAGTAGCTAATTGCCTGAAATTACCAGTTGCTTGGTCATGCAACCTTGGTACATTTAGATATATCTATGATGAAATTGGAGAAAGTCAAATAAACATCACTTCAGCATGCCTACCACAGCTTTCAATCACATGCACTCAATGAGTTAATAGCACACTAAAAACAGCCACTTTTCTCCAATTTCTGGTTTTAGCTCCTAAAATAAATGCTTAAAGAACTTATGTCTATATAGAATAAAAAATTAGAGCAGCTTAGGAGCCTAATTTATTTCAACAAATTGTCACAAACATCTGTTTTGCATACAGAGAAAAATTATGAAGGTAGAAATCTAAGTAAGAACTATAGTAATCTCATAAAACAGAAAGGTGATGATTAACTAGAAATATTTTCACATATTTGTATTTTGCTAGAACACAGCCTTGCAACTTAGGATAAACAAGTGAAATATGTGTAGGCACACTGGAAACCAGGGGGCGGGGGAGGGTTGGTGTTAAATATTTACAAATGTAAAAGAGGTCTGGGAAATCTTCAAGTCTATGAAGCTGTTTAAAAACACCCGAGGGCAAATGCTATCAAAATTCTAATGAGAAACAAAATGGATGTTTAGGAATCCAATTTTCCGTTTTGAACTGGTGAATGAACCTTATTTCATAAACTTATATTACTTAAAAGGCTTTCTAAAAATCTACTAATAGACTGTCCACTTTGCTATATGACCAGTCTGTACTAAAATCATTTCATAATGGAAGCTTTCTGTTTAATTCTGACAAAGCTCAAAGGGGAAATTTTTCATCTTTATTTCAAATAATGTTAACTTTTCAGTATTTTGAAGTGAGAATTATGCTACGGCAAAACAAACTTCTGACTTACTCTACTATATTAGACATCTCAAGTCTAATTTGATTGGAAATGTTTAGGGGCTGTGTGATCCATTCCTTCTACCCTAATATAATATCTCTCCAACTAGTTGAAGACTTGTAATTAAACTAACCCTCCAGGTCTTTTACTTGTCTTTTATAAGGACAATTTTCTTTTAATTTTCTAAGAATTTGAAAGAAATAACTTTGGCTTGCTTTCCCTAGACCTTGTCCAAAGACACCATATCTTCCACAGATAGGTCATACATAGATAATGAAATTGAGCACATTACCCCCTATGAAAGGCACAATAAAAACTTAAATACAGAATATGTCAAGGTTACATCCCAGCTCCTACATATATACATATATATATGTACATATACATATATATATATTATAATATATTAGACCATGTTCATTGTTTGTGACCATAGGACATTCTATTATTGGCATGTTTGACCTATACTTCCCATGGGTTCTACACAATTATTTGCTATATTTATACATACACAGTTCAGGACCATCTTGTACTCATTTCTGTAATCTGGCATTCCTCTGCATTTGAATTTGCCTTTAATAGACTTTGTCATGTTTATTTTTACCCACATCAGCTTGTCAAAGTTGTTTGGAATCCCAATCTTAACCCATTTCCCCAACTCCCAACTCTGAAAAGGCAGAACTGGCTGAACGTATATAAATTCTTTAGAAAAAGTCTTTGCACACAGTTGTGACACTCAGACATTTTACATTCCCCACTCTTCTGCCATTTAGTCATAGCCTAACAAAACTCAATACCATATTTCTAGATATTCTTACCCGACTGTTGGGTCGTCGACATCCAAACAACGGAAGGCAACAACACAGGCTGAAGGTGGAGCTGCCCCTACGGCTAGATGCCGTACGTTGTGTCCTTCTAGAATTCATCATGCTTCAAAGTTGGTCTGTCTATAAATGTGTAGTACAATCTGGAAAAAAAATATGACTTGGGATGTAACAGTGAAAGATCTGAGGAACAGCAAGCAGTTTAATACATGAGGAAGGAAAGGGCAAATGGTGGGAGAAGTTCTCAACATTTGAAATTTCACCATAAGCCCTGCTCTTTGGGGATTCTGTAGTATATTTTCTCAAAATACAGCAACTCAAAAGTTACCTCTTTTCTTGGAAAAGATGGACAAAGTGAAGAAGAAATGGTGACTGAGTGCCGAACCCCTACAAAACTTAGCCTTCACATGTCCCTCGGACTCAGAAAAAAGAAAATAGGCCACATTATTCCCTCTTCCTCTATTTTCTCCTGGGACATTCATTTACCCTTTCTTATTTAAATTCCTGGCATTCCCATCTCAGAACTATCTCTGTCCCTGGGCAGTTCCTGTCATAAATATACCCTTCCACATCAGCTCAGACCTTCTTGGCCACCAGCCAGTTGGCCAGTTTTCCTCTACCAATAACTAGATTTTCCCTAGTTATACAGTATTTAGATGCTACAAATATCAATATGAGTAATCAATTTGAATGACGAACCCAACTGACATCTAGTGTATCATTAGCATTAAATGTATATTGTCTTAATAAGCCAGTCTATTACTTTATCAACATACAAAAATATTAAGGACATGGATAGTTTGAAAATATTACCCCATTTAAAACATACTTGGAACATGGCATCATGATGCATGACTGTAATTCTAACACTCAGAAGGCTGAGGCAGGAGGATCACATGTTTGAGTTCAATCTGGTCTACATAACAAAATGTTGTCTTAAAAAAACCTAAGGGCCAGGGATGTAGATTAAAGGTAGTCTATTTGCCTAGGATGCACAAGGTCCTATATTTGATCCACAGCACTACATAAAAAAAGAAAAAGGAAAACAAAAGGTATTTGATACTTTAGTTCTGCAGTGGGGATGTAAGTAAATTAAATTGTAATTTACAGCAGTAGGACAGTGCTTATGGTACAGATGTTAAGCAGAGCTTGATACTAAAATGTTTTACTTCATCTTTCCTTGTGTTTCTTTCTTTTTCCTTGCTTTTTAATCTTGAAACAGAGACTCACTATGTAGTTCAGGTTGGCCTCAAACTCTCAACTATCATCCTGTCAGCCTCTCAAGTGCTGACATTAGAAATGTGAAGCACCACACCCAGCTTAAGTAACACTGATTTTATGTTTTTTATTTATAATTTATACTCTGCTATCTTTTAAAAAAGGATTCAAGGCAGCTGACATTGAACACTATAATCAATCATATATCAAATATTTTTGTTAAAATATTTTGAAGAGAATGGCTTTATATATTTTTACTATTGCTATATTCATCTATACCTCCCCAAATAACAAAACTGATGATAACTTTTATTATTTTAAGGAATTGTTGGTGATGAGAGAGGTTGTGAGAAAACTTCTGAAAGGTCAGCCTTTCAGTGTAAGGACAGTATAGATGGTAAAATAACTTCCCCCATCAACCTAATGCTTGTCTATCTCTCCCCTTCACAAATATCTCCAATAATGTGATATAATAGAAAAATAGAGCCCTCTCCATTAAAGATAAATATTGTTACCATTATAGACGGTGCCTTTTTACCCTCATTCTTCAAAGTTACTCTTTGAGCACATTTCTTTACATTAGCCGATACAATCAATTACCAAAGCCACCAAATTTGTGGCTGTTGGCTACTCTGATCTAACTTAATAGTTATCTATAAGATTTGTGGCTTATAGGAATTTCAAGTTTAGTTTTATAAACTAAGGTGATTAGATTCAAAGATGAAAACTCAAGGAGAAAAATGTATTAGATTTTTTAATCCATATTATGTCATTAAATCCTCAAAATACTACAAAGTAGGCACAATCACTCCTACTTTCCAAACAAAAAACGTAAGTACAAAGAAGTTAAGTGTCCATAGATAATTGAGTAGCATATCTCAAACTACAATTGAAATTTTCTAAGTCCAATTGCTTCATCTCTCTCACTTCTCTAACTTTATTAAAGGATAAACAAAATGAAGACATGCACAAAAACAGAAGTTATTTTCCAATAGAGCACCTACCCATCCTATTCCCCTCAAATTTTCTACTTTTCTCTAAGAAGAAAACTAAGTTTCTCTTCAGTTACAAAATACATTTACATACTTGAGCTGCACATAAATAACTTATGTTCATAAATTTAGGATGAGTTGTGCATTTTATTTCATTCAGAAATAAGAGCCATACAAAAAAGGACTTCCAAGGATGAAGGTTTAAACAGTGATTCTCAACCTTCCTAATGTTGTGACCCTTTCATAGAATTCCTCATGTTGTGGTGACCCTCAACCATAAAATTATTTAGTTGCTACTTCATAACTGTAATTTTGCTACTGTTATGAATCATAATGTGAATATCTGATATGCAGGATATCTTACATGTGATCCCCAAAGTGGTCACTACTCACAAGTTGAGAACCGCTGGCTTAAAACCATTTATTTGAAGCATTAGATATCAACATTCAAAGCCCCCAAATTTAGTTTGTTTTTATATAATCTAGTCATTTGAATTGCTATGTAAACTCTTAGGCATCCATCCTAAAAATGAAATAAAAAAAACAGTGTCAGGGTAAATTATCAATGATTAAACGTGAGCTGTCATGGTTAAGCATTAAACTTCTAACACCAATACAATCAACTAAAGGTCTTTATTGGCTATTTTCACTGGCTGACATCTTGATGAATTTGGTAAATAACTAGAAGATTTTACATCTAGAGCGTGTACGTAATAGTTTATTTCAATCTTTAACAACTTCCTAGAGGGGTAAGTCTGTCCATCCTTGAAAACAGATATAATCTAAAACTTCTCTCTTTTGCTGGAACTTTTTTTTTCTTTCTATGGTCAAATTTCTCAGACAGTTTCCTTGAGCAGAGTTTTTTAAAATTTTTTTGCTTGATTGCAGTATTAAGAACTGATCCTAGATGCCTCACTCATAACTCAGCATGTACCTTTCCAATGAGCTACATCCCCATTGCAACACACTCTTCTGTGCAACCTCTTCCTACATATACCTCTTCACTATTAATTTAGTTCCCCTTGCCAGAGCAATTTCATTTTCAGAGTTCTTAATGATCTTTTTGTTAGTAAGTCTACATTATCATTTTACAGTACAGCACATTTGTTTTCATATTGTATTCAACTTGAAACTCTTTCTTTGGCTTCTGTGCTTGATCTTAGTCAAAATGCCAAAAAGTGGTGCTTTTTTGGCTTCTGATTATCTTTATTACTTGTTTTCCTATTGTGTGGAGGTTTTATTTATATTTCCTTCTATACATTTCTGTGCACTTAGCTTTTTCTATTGTTTCTTTTTAAAGTTTTCTTTGTTTTCATGATTTTCTAACAGCTGTATTGACGGCAGTGTAAGATAAATCTTCAGGACTGTTTCCAGTCTTCCAAATCCTATTGAAAATGCTTATATAACTATTACTTACTACTACAGATCCCTCAAATACAAATAGAACCCATCATATTTTCCTCATAAACACTCTTCTTCTAACTTCAGCCTCCCCAAACTATAGTATCTCCTACTTAGGATTCATTATTTTTTACTATTCCTTCTATGAAGTCAATTACCAAGTCCTTCTAGATTTTCCTTTCTCCATGTTCATATTCTTTTAAGTTTATTGAACAAACTAGATTAATGCAAAACTAGCACAACATACAAAGCTACCACCAGCATTTGCATTGGGCCCCTTATATCTCACTAAATAAAAATTTAGGTTTTCTCCTGTTGTTCTACTGCTTGTTCTAATATACCAAATACTCAAATACTTATATCCCGACCTTTGTCTGTTAAGTCCTTCCTGTTAAAATCGTAGTTTCAGTGATTTGAGATTTTAGATTTAGCATTCATTTCCTTCTAATACATGTTTTTGATCCTTTCAGATAAGACTATATAACATATACAGTTTGTTCTATAGGCAATAAAAATTTACTAATGTTTACATAATTCATATTTGTGCTAAAATGCCCTTTAAAGCCCAATCAAGGGAAAAAGAGAACAGAGACTACCCCTGTCTCAGCTTTTTGATCATCCTAGATGTCATTATTCATTGTTTAAATTACTCTTTTTTTAAAAATTTCCTTGCTTTTATTCATTGCCCTTAGACAGCATGAATATGATGAAATGTAAGCAATCTATCAGTCTAAATATCTACTTCTCTAGCTGTACAATGTTGCGCTATTAAATGACGTTGGAGAAAACAGTAAATTGGTTTGATGCAATTTCTTGGTCTCTAATCTCAACTTGCTTTCAAGGTTACCTAGTAACATTTCTTCCTGCCTCTCCTTATAAAAGCTATTTTAAGCCTCCTCTACTCTCTTGTTATCACAACCCATCTGTTTCTTCATTTAACTTATTCACTTCATATTGTGTGGGACTCATAAGAGAGCCCCTCGAATTTTCTGGCATGTCACCTATAATCATACTTGCTCATTACTTTCCTCCCACTTTCCTCTTTTCCGAAGGATGTAATGGAAATGACCCACCTCTGATATAAGGAGTTGTTAACACACATATTTTCTTAATCTTGACATCTTAGAGTTGCCACATGAGGATTGCCACTTGAGATGTTTCCAGCTCACCCCAAGTGCTCTCTCTTGATCACTCTGTTTATCTTGCTTGTCTTGTAGCTTTAAGACCTTACCCTCTCTACTACTTGTTTCCAAATGTAATAGAAAATGCTGTTATGTCAAAAATAAAATAGCTTCCTTTGATATGTACCTGCAAACAGCCAAATTTAGTTAAAGAGGTATTTTTATTGTCATTTTTCAGTGTCCATCACTCTCATTCACTCTTAAATTCGCTATAATTTTATTTCTTCCTCATTGACCCTTGAAATTACTAAAGCCAATGATGGCTATATGGTAAATATATTCAATAGTCACACTAATCTCTGCTACTTTCTGAAATACCCCTTCTCATTCCTTTGGTTCCTATGGCATTAT